GACCTTGAAGTATTTTACCTTGAACTAACTCTGGTCTTTATTTCTGACCCTAGAAGTATTTTACCTCGTACTAACTCTGGTGTTTACCTCTGACCCTAGAAGTATTTTACCTTGAACTAACTCTGGTGTTTATTTCTGACCCTAGAAGTATTTTACCTCGTACTAACTCTGGTGTTTACCACTGACCTTGAAGTATTTTACCTTGTACTAACTCTGGTGTTTACCTCTGACACTAGAAGTATTTTACCTCATACTAACTCTGGTGTTTACCACTGACCTTGAAGTATTTTACCTTGTACTAACTCTGGTGTTTACCTTTGACCCTAGAAGTATTTTACCTCGTACTTACTCTGGTGTTTACCTCTGACACTAGAAGTATTTTACCTCGTACTAACTCTGGTGTTTACCTCTGAACCGGAAGATGCATATATTCTAAAGATTAATAAGTTTTTGTTACATTATGCTAGGGGCTTCTTAAGAAACGCCCTCATTTAAACGAACGTTGCAATCGGAAACATTTTTTCCCATATAGTTTATCATATATATTAATTAGGCCGTAAGGTGTTATTAAATTCCAAAAAGAAACAAATTGCAATGTTCCAGGATTACCGATGTAAAGAAGACTTTAAGTTATTTTCATTTAAATATGATATAAATCTCAGTAAATTGATCTGGAATTCTCTTTGTAAGGCAGATTGCGAATTTTAATCAATGAAGAATTACATAATTTTCAGTGCAACGATGCAGAATTTTATATGCAAGGCAGATTGTTAGTTGTGTTTAATAACAAATTATATACTTTTGTGTGTAAGGCAGATTGTTCAGAGAGAGGTTACATAATTATCATTGTAATGATATAACTTCATGTAAGTAAAAAATTTTCTGGGTTTATTCGTGTCAAATGTGCAATTAGGTGAATGTAAACAACACATGGGTATTCTAACAAAAATAATGATTCAAAGTTCTTTTCTCTAAAAAAAATGTTTATATTCTGGATCATTCATGGAAAATATTTGTTTAAACAGATTAGTCATCACTAGTTTTGAATTGATTGACTAGAAAAAAGGCAGTTGTCTCTAATTTTGAAATGACTGACTAGAAGAAAGGAAGCTGTTCAACACCACCCACTGTCAACTCTTAGGTTACTCTCGTCTAGTCTGACAGAATAGTGAGATATGACTGTCACACTTATATCACACTCACAGCATCAAAGTGTGAATAGCGATTTTTCGTGTTTAAGTATGTACTTTACTTTTCAAGGCGGAAGTGATATGACAAAATATCCACTGATGATCAACTAGGACACGACGCCTTCACTGTTAAAGAGACTTTGAAAAGTAAATAAAATGAGTTTTGAAAGACTTATCAAAAGAGGTAAACAAGATCTGTGATTTTTAAGGCAAGTGTTTGAAGATTCTAACGCTCAGGTGACGACAGATGAATAAAATTTTCAGAGTCGGCGTTCACAAAAAAAACAAAAAACAAGAAACATCGAGATGGTATTCATGATCTGAAGAAGGAAACCGTCTTTGAGCTCAAATCGATCAGCATTATATTTCTTCCTTTTAAGAGCTACAACATTTTCTTCAAAAGATCTTTTGAACTGTGGTTTTTTATATTGACGAACTGCGGAAACTTAAGATTAGGTTTAAAGTTTATTTAGCTCGTTTCCCAGAAGAAACTCAGCGAGACACCAGTTGATATATGTTTAATGCAAAATATTTAAGCATATAGAAATGTGTTGCTTTGTAATATAGGCAAAAAGTAATTTCTCAAACTATTAATGAATCGATTAGTAACTGGAACGGTTAAAACAGAAACAACACAGTTCATACAACATACAGATTAAATCCTTTTAAACCATATTTGGATAAAATTTAAATTTTCCGACTGTATTCTGAATTTGTTTGCTTTGATGTATAGTCCTTGAATGACCACTAATAACCTAAACACTTTAGGTATTTGAATAACATGTGACGTCACCTTCATAATTAATTATTCATTATTATTTAGCAGACTAGCTGATAATTTATTTGTGAATCTCTCTTTTCCTCACTAAAGCGTGTAAGTTCTGTGAAAAAAGAGATTTCGTGAATTTCTGGCAGCATTTTACTCAAATCCTTGAAATAAATTCATTGTTTTTATTGCATTAATCATTTCTGACAACGCATGACAAAAACTCACAGACATGCTATTAACGTACAGATTGAAATTAATTATAAATCCACGCACATGACTTTTATTTTAATTCCTCATAGTAGAAAAATGAAGAGATCTTAAACACGTTTGTGGTGTTGTGTTATAACTATTCACAAAATATGTATTACTTGTTCATTCTGCTTTCTTGGTTTAGTATCTAATCTATATGTTATAATAATATGAAATATGTTTTAACATCTAATACACATATATGCCTCAGAAGTATGAAAGCTATGCCTAGAATTCCGGAAATTACATTGACTTGGACTTTATTTAAAGTCCTAGATACTCACGTAATTTAATAAAGGAAGCACGTGGAGATCCGGATAGAAAATGATTGATCCTATTTTGTTGAGGGACTCGGCTTAATCTCTTTACCTCTTTATACTAAATAAATAAGTTCTAGATTTGGAAAGAAAATAGGTACATGTATAAACAAGAACCACTTTACAGGTACCTTTTTGTCAATAACTGTGTGTTACATATTATTATTAATTTTTGTTTTCCATAATGTGTGTAAGTTGTTTTTCTAAAGAAAGAGTCGTGAAAAATATATTATGTTCGCAATATTCACTAATAACTTAACCCTCTCATGCTCGTTTTGTTATTAAATTTGATGCTGGCGTGGTCTAGTAGCTAACCTGTACTGACTGCGAACCCAGAGAATCATTGTTTGCATTTCGTTGCTGCAATATTCCGCTCCATAGTTCAGGGCCGTGGGTAAATTATAAAAATGGCGCCCATTATTCTGTCAGACAGGGGTCAAATAAAAGCGGATTAAGGGTTGGTGGTGGATGTTGTTGACTAGCTGCCTTCCCTCTGTACTATGAGTTACAAATTAGGAAAGGCTGTGTGAAGATAACCCTTTGGGTAGCTTATTAATATCCTGTGCGTTAAGGATAACACCTGTGTTATCAAATGTCGATATATGTCTTTTCATCATGTTGCTTACATGACCCATGTTTTCTAGAGAAATCTGTCTGTCTGTTTGCTTGAATGTTTACTTTTGCGCATGTCATTTAAATATATGGGTCGTTCCTGATAAATTTCAGTAAAGATCTGGTGTGAGAAAAATTACTCGAAATTGTTATTGTTATTTATTTTCACTGCCTTCTTATATTACATTTTACTCTACATTTATATTTGTAAACATGACTCTATTTTAAATATAGTTTTTTTTATTCGTCTCATGTCCTGAACTCGAGATACTTCCAACAAAATAGGAGTGTTCTCATTAAAAGATTTATTATAATTTCAAAATGGCATAGCGTGTGTGACAAGGATAAAATAAAATACATGTATATAGAAACAGACACACATACTTACGTGCATTAATAACTAGCACCTCAAACCCTTAAATACAAAATATCCAATATTAGTACTATATTTATCTAATCTTTTCTACTCGTAATTCTTTTGTTTGAAGCTATATAGAAGTGGTGGATGAGAATACACAAATTCGAATTGACTGAAATTACTGAAGCAAAGGTTCTAGTTAAACCCGCCTGACGACTCGCTGTTAATGAAAACTGATAGAGCCGAAGTGCAGCCCGAGATCTGCAGGATTTTTTTTTATTATTTTGTGTAAAAGAAGGGCTGAGCTCAAGCGTGTAGGTTTGATATATATATACACACATATGTGTACAGGTCTGTTATAATGTTTTTCATGGTTTCGATAATTCGATTAAATTTGCATAAATTAATTATCACGGTAGTTTGTTTAGGGAATATAAAGTGTTCGGTTAAAGAACTAACAAGATTATAATACCATGAGTCAAATATTTTATAAACGTTATACGCCAGAAATACATCCTTAGTTATTCACTTGGGCGCTCCGTTAATGATTATTACACCCATGCTGATACAAGTATGTTTTTGATCATTGCTGTAATAATTTCTTTTTAAACTTTCCATTTAGTAAACATAAAGTGATGTCAATTTTATAGCATCAGGTTTATGTTTAATTAAAATATCATAGATTTCATTACAAACATATTTTAATCAACCAAACCTATTTCTTAAGCCTAACTGACTATCACGAACTGTAGCAAAGTTGGTAGTTAGTGTTTGTTTGTTTTTGAGTTTCCCGCAAAGCTACGCGAGGGCTATCTGCGCTAGCCGTCCCTAATTTAGCAGTGTAAGACTAGAGGGAAGGCAGCTAGTCATCACCACCCACCGCCAACTCTTGGGCTACTC